CTTTAAGGACTATTCAGTAATAATCTGATACTAATGTTCTGATAGTAAGCAGTATCATAACAGTATCTAACACTGTGAAAGGTTCATAAACACTCACTGGTTAATCATCAGTTTCTCAGGGTGATAAATATCACTAGTTCAATTACAGGCACTCACTTGGTTGTGGAAAACACAAAAAGAAGGGTTTTCGTCACACCACATGGTGACCCGAAGTAACCTGGGGTCCCTATACAGTATGCAGGCAGAGACAGGCGTATTCTGGGAATAACACAATACATGTGACTTTTGAAGTGCTTTTTAACTCACTCAGTTAAACAGTAAAATCAGTTAAATCTTCTTGGAGGAGTTCAACGTCAAGAAAAACTGCATTAGTTTCTGAGTTTGCTGTTTTCAAGGCATCAGAAAGAAAAATCTACAATATAGTTGTTAAGATACTACCAAAAAAATAATTATTAAATGACATTTCTGAATTTCATATCAGATCACTGCATTCATTGCGTTGTTTCAGAACATTTCAACTTCTTGGCTGTTGATGTTTAAATGCATTCCATTTAAATCAGATTTCAAATGATAGTGTTGAAGAACCACCAAACCATAAATTTCTTTTTCTTTCTTTTAATAAGATTTCAGACACTGAAAACGATTATTGTTTTTTAATATTTGTAAAGATTAGATGAATTCTGATTAGCCCTGGCAAAAGTTCTTTTCATGGACTAAGTAGAAATTAAGACTAGATGAGCTTGGAGGACTGTCAGCATTTCATACGCTTTCTGTTCACACTGCATCTGAATTGTATAATGACAGCCCCTCTGGTGAGAGCCTCTGTAATGCTGATATTAAAACCTGTAGTTAAAAATCATTCAAATGAGATACGTGTGCTTTTAAATGGCATTAACTGCCATTATGAACAATAGCTCAGCTGATTAAATAGTGTGGATACATGGCATTAGGGCATTGCATTTGAATTTTCATGCTTTCTTGTATTTTTCAAGAAAAATACTTTTAAACATTTCAAAAGCAACTCAATTCCTTCCTCCTGAAAACCCTGCCACACTAGTCAAAATCCACTGTTATTTAGTGAAAAACGTAGCACTGAATTCCCAACAATCTCAAAAAAAAAAAAAGTCTCACTCTTTATTCACTTTTTGGGGAGAAAGCTTTGCTATTACTAATCAGAAAGAGTTGTAACCAATAAACACTTAAATTATTTTGGATTCTTCTCTGGAATCTGCTTACCTATTCTTGCCTCTACAGTCTGAAACGCTCTGGATCATAGCTCATTTTCTCTTGATAAAGACAGTTACATAAAGATCTCTGTGAGGACCATGAATTCTTCTCCCAGTGTATTGCAGCCTGCAGACAAGGGTGCTTTTTTTTAGTGTGAGGCAGTACGTATGTTCAAATAGGAGAGGTAACCTGGATTTGTTGCAAACCTGGATGTCCATGTGACAAGATGACTTCTCTAAACTACTAGAGCCTGCTCAATACTCTGCTATCATCGTATCATGCTTAATCAATGGCAAGGTTAATTGTTCATTGTCCATTGAGAACTTAACCCTGAGAAAAGGTATAGCTGTAATAAACCCTACCCATGGGACCCTACATTGTGCTTCCTCCGTTCCCCCTGTCTGATGTGGTTGGTTGCATAGTGCTTTCGTACCAGCATTTCCCAGAAGCAGATCCTCCTTTGGGAGAAGAGGTCTCTAGCCTCTTGTGGCAAAAGGGAATCCTCTTCTATTTTCACGCACAACTCAAGGGATGCAAGTTTAAAGCTTCACTGATTGCAAATGAGGGGACACCTGAGGCCCAGTCCATGTCTTTGGAAAAATTATGTTGTGTTGCAATGTACTGAAGTTTCTGTATTCCTGCAGAGGTCAACAGTGGTTGGAAGTGTTCAGAAGCACTGACCTTCGTAACATATTAGCCCAACTTCTATTGACCACCTGAGAAGTAAGTGCTCAGGAGATGTGTCATTTCTGAACGTTCTCTGGAATTTTTGAACACAGTTTTGTTTGACTTTGTTGGTACTACAGCAGTGTAAATACATCTGTTTTAAACAAAGATTTTTCTTAGAGTTGGGCTGATAATTTTCAGTGATGCAATGTGAGATAAATTGAGATCCAAGCTATCAAGTGCAAATTCCTGAGAAACTCCATTTACCACTTGTAAATCTGTAAATCACTGAATCTGATCTGTCAGAAGCAACAGGGAGCCATGCATGGTAAGAGCAGTGGGTCAAGGCAGAACAGAACCACCATGCAGCAGCAGCCTCGAGTCCTACAATTAGCAAAGGATCTCAATAAAATGCTACCCATTGTCAGACTCCCTTGAAGAAAATATACTAGAGAGTTCAGAGCTCAGGGCTGCTAATTCTTGATTGGCACTAAGCATTTTAAAACAGGGGCAGAATCAAAATAAAGGGCTTCAGCCCAGCTTGAAATTAATGCATTGTGTGTAGAAAGATTTTCTTGGTACCACAAGAGGGTCATTTCTTCTGTAGTTTATACCTTAGTGAAACTTTCGAATTATGTCAACCCAATCTCTATAATTGGTTGCTAGACTGAATCTTAATGTCAAGCAAACTCAGTGCTGTACACTCAGCAGCTCCCTGTCAATAACAAATTAAGCTGGCAAAGTGCACATTAACCATCCTCCCAATTTCCCTCCTTGACACTCTTCGCAGTTGGGAGACAGTTTTTCATTCGTGCCATCTTTTCCATGTAATCATTATCT